AGACTACAATATCACTGTGTACTCACACCACAGACTGCTGTCTAGGCATTGTAGTGCTAACCAGCTCCAATGCATAACTGCTAAGGCACACTCTGAACTCATTATAACAAGAGATTTGCAAGAGCAACAGAGCGAAGAGTTGAGCAAACAGCAACTGCTGAGCAAAGAGCAACAATTTAACAGTTTATAAATTATTATAAATTGTTATAAAAAAGTAACTCTTCTGTCTGCAAACCAAGCTAGAAAAAAAAGTCTAGCAAGATTTCCGTTTTGATTCATGCAATGCTGCCAGGACTCCCTAAGCACCACACCTCCAAAAGCATTAACTGTAGCCCTCTGTGCAAGAGCTGGTCAGCGAGATCACTGAGTCCACGCAATCACCCAATCGCGAGCCCATGTGGGGAGAGCAGAGCACCGATTAACAAGAACATTTCTCCAAGGCTTTCAGCAAACTCCCGGTCCCTTCTCCTCCCTCTGGAAACCCTATCAGCAACAACCAAGGACAGCAATATCCAGCCACACAGAATATCTCCCGACGCGGGCGAACAAACACTCCAGCTCCGTGCGCACATCCCAGCAGCTCTCAGCCCGCACAGAATGCACTGCCAAGCCAGCAGGGGGCGCTGCTCTTACCTTGGCTGCCATGATCATGGAGGAGCCGCCCCGGATGCCCAGGATGGGGATGTGTGTCTGGGCAGAGATGAAGTCCAGTATCTGGGCAATGGCCTCCTGGTCGGTGTCGTCCCCGAACACCACGCCCTGCAGCCGGTTCTTGGTCATCAGGTCGCAGATGCGCGTGATGATGCTCTTGGGGTCGGTCTCATTCATGGTGACCAGCTCCACGCTGGGGCTGATGGCCATGTGCTGGAAGTCCTCTTTCTCGCGCCCCTCGTTCAGCGACACTTCGCTAGAGTTGCCCACCAGAATCACGGCGATGCTGAGCCCCTGGGTCAGCTTGGGGACCAGCGGCTGCGGTGCCCGGCGCGAGTCGGCAGCCCCCGGGAAGAGGAGGAGGAGGAGGAGGAAGGGGAGCACAGAGGCGGGGCTGTAAGAAGTCCGGCAGCACTGAGTTCGTGTTCTGGAGGGAGTCCGTGGTGGGGCTGGGGCTGGGGCAGGGGCAGGGGCAGGGGCAGGGGACTGTGTGTCGTAGCAAAATACAGGCATGGCGAAGAGCGGTGTTGTCAATCCCTGCAGGGCGAGAAAGAGAGAAGTGTGAGGTCACAGGCCGCTGAGCAAGGGACTGTTCTGACCCGTCCCACCAATCACACAGGGAGCTGCGCAGCGGAGGTAACCTCTGTGATGCTGGATGGTGCCAGGCTGCTAGGTGGGGGTGGGGTGAAGGGACAGGAGCCCCTGTCCCACTGTGTACCCCTGAGCTCTCCTTCAGGAGTCAAACCCAGGTCCTCTCGTCAGAGAGACTGCCGACGAGGCTGCAGCTCATCCCCAAGACTCCGTAAAACAATTAAGAAGTGTCTGCTAAATGAGTAATTAATAATTACCATTAACAAAGCTGAGTCAATCTGGGATTTTGTCTTAATCACAGTGACATTGAATCACCAAGGAAAACAAACCAAGATTAGTAAATGTAGGATTAATCTGGAGCTCCCTTGGAAATTCCTCTGTGGCTGTGAACTTCAAAGAGGGGAGCTGTCCTGCGTCCTGCTGCCGGGGCCCCACACTCCTGCCGGATCACAGCCGCTCACTCGAACCCTTAACCTGCTTCATAATAGGATTCTTTTCAACTGGTCGACTGTGTTCAGCTCTTTAACATGCTCTAAGGCAGATTTTAACTACTGTAGTTCACAACATAAACTTCTGCTAAGGGAACAAAACCTGCAGATGTAACAAACCAGAGGCTTGTGGGCCAGTAAGACTGTGCCTGTCAAATGACTTCCTTACACTTAACTGCAGCTCCTGTGCTCCAGAGAACAAGGCTTCTGTGAACGGAGATTAAAGACGGGGTGAGGCAGTTACGTGGCCCACACAGACACAACCCTGAACTGTCTGACAGAGAATTTATGACTTGTGTCGTCTGGTTAAGAAAAAGAGCACAATGTCTTTTTTCACTGTCGAGTGAAGGCAGAAGCAAGGCAGAAACATCTACAGAACTCTTGCTCTGCTTTTAGTCTGCCAGTTCAGTCTCTGTCTACATTTCTGTGTCTCCCTCCCGGCTTCACTCTGTTTCAACTTATCGGACTGTCCGTCTATATTCTTAAGCGGAGATCATCCTTAAAAGCAACAAAACTGGAAGCGTGCATACACACACAAAGAGAAATCAATATTTTATTAAAAGGGTGATCAGGCTGAATAATGCGCTTCAATATTGATGAGATAACCTCTCCCCAAGGATGGCTGCTAGCCCGCAATCGGCTTGGATTAGAGATACTGAGCTTGTACTCTACAAACTGCACATACTCCAGACACACACAGCTCTCACACTGACACATACATCAATCACTGTCACACACACAGCTCTCACACTTACACACAGCTCACTGCCACACACACTTGGCTCTCTCACTGTTACACACACACAGCTCTCTCACTGACACATACAGTACATCACTGTCACACACAGCTCACTGTCACACACGGAGTTTCTCTCTAAACACATGCACACACATGGCTCTCACACTGACACACACACACGGCTCTCACACTGACACACACATGGCTCTCACACTGACACACACACACAGCTCTCACACTGACACACACGGCTCTCACACTGACACACACACAGCTCTGTCCGTACTCTCACGTGACTCTTAATGAAACCTGTAAGACAGGCAGAGGGCAGAGGTCCTGATCTTTACAGAAGTCTGCATGCTCTCTAGCTTGCTGGTTTTCTTCAGGAGTCCAGCAGGACTTTCCCTGGGGTGTGTGAAAATCTTGAAACACTAGCACCAAAGTACGGCTCTTTTCTGTGAGAGTCGTTGCATGTCACACACACAAATGCATACACTTGCTCAGCGACACATGACAGCAAGATTTCTCTTTTTTTTTTAAAAAGAGTCCTTTTCTGAACATCAGCTTTCAGAATAGAGACAAGAGGGATATGATCAAATCTGGGACAGGCCTGCAGAGCGATAAGCTGTTTGTTGTTTTAAATAAGACGTCTGGGAGAGAATAGCAGAATTGTGCACATTGTGCAGGAAACTATCCATTCATCTGACAGAGCCTATCCCCTCTGGACAGCCAGGTCTGCCTGTGTCCAGTGTCTCTGGCCAGGCTGTGGTCACTGAGCCTGTCCTCTCTGGACAGCCAGGTCTGCCTGTGTCCA